CAATTAAGACGCGCGCGCGCGTGTGAATATTTGTTCTGTCGATTTTACCAAAAGTGGTGATTTTAATGTCAACGACAAAAGCTGAAAATGCAGATTTGCAAGCATTATTGAACGAAAATCCAATACAATCCAATACATCACGTCAGAACTTACCGGAGAATTAAATGTTGATCGTACAACAGTTACTATAAACGTTTACGTGATATGTTGTTTAAATAAATCAGTTTTTAAGAAAAAAATCCTCAAAACTAAATTACACTTCTAATATATCGTATACAGGAAATCAAAATCTACAAAAAACACTATTCCTTTTACTTACATCTTTTTAAGCAAAAATCCTCTCTTAGAGAATATTAAAAAAGGCCCATGTTTGCTCAAAAGATATAAGTAGAGGAAATATTATTTAAAAAATATAAATTTTAACTTCCTGAGTACAACAAAGTTATCAAATATTCGTGGCGTTTGCGAAACATCTCAAAAATTAAGAAGAATATTGAAATTAGATAAATACCATATTAGTGCTCAATTTTTGAAGTGTTCCCCAAATACCACAAACGTTTTAATAATTTTATCGTATCCGCAGAAAGTCAAAATCTATAAAAAAGCATTATTCCCTTAATTACACCTTTTTAAATATCGAACTCTTTTCAAAATTTTCCTTTTTCTTAGTATGGTAGTTTCACACATCATAAAACCGTGCGAAGTAATGATTGTTCCATTATCAGTTTTGAAGCTAATGAGACATGTTTCATTATGCCGTGTTGACATTTATAATGCGGATCACTCTGCACGTTCTCGCATATTGCATTATATACGTTTCACGATAATCATCATTATGCGATCGCAGTTGTTTGCATTAGGTCTGAATTTACAAATGCGAGGCTGCATTTACACGTGTCCATGACTATGACTGATAACGTAGATTCGCATACACATCGTTGAGTTCTAAAGTTTGAAACGGCGAGATATCGACGACTCCTATCAGATATCAGTTGCGAGGCGACGGATATTACTACAGCATCGCGGTGTCGCTGCCTGCTGTTGGGAACAATATAGCTTATTCAATTCATATTCATCGATTAAATTCAAAATGGATGAACGCCGTAAAAGCGCTTGGCGGTTGTATATACGTCATGCACGCGATAGGAAGCGAAATTAAAAGCTTGGGCAAAAAGACGACAACATGATCGCTTGTATAACGGAATTCCGCTTCTATAGAGAAGAAAAACAAGTTTGAAATAAGTAGAACAACAGGCGAAAAATCAACATAAAGCGAAGTTTACACGCGTTTGTAATTAAATTGAAAATCATTCGGTCGCATTGATTGAATTGATTTCGTAGAACGGTAAATGCATTTGTTTCAACGAATTCTCTGAGGCTTGAAAAATAAATTTATAAAATAAATATTGTAAACAAATAAATATATTAGTAATTTGGATAACTATATAGACATCACCGAAGCTTTATACGCGCTATTTGCTTTTTTAATTTTTACTTTTTTATTTTTTATTTTTACTAGGTATATATGATCAAAAGGAATTTGTGAGCAGCATTTCTTATTCAATATTAATCACGATAAAATTAATCGCTTCCTTTCCTTTGAGGAACTAATAGAAAAGTAAAAGGATATCAAAAGGATATGTATAACATATTTTTATTACACAATTTATTGGTATCTCAATAATATATGTATATACATATATATACAGTGAGTGCAAAAAATATTCGTACAAAGAAAATATTTTTTTAAAAAAACTTTATTTTTAAAAAGAAATATTATCCAACGAGAAATGAATGATGTCGAATCGATATAAATACGATGATTTCAACATCAATTTGACGTCGATTCGACGTTTAATTGACGATCATTTCTTGTTGGATATATAATTAACAATTTATTCATAAAGAATAAAATAGACTGTATGTTTTTTAAAATTATATATACCAAAAAGATGCGTATCAATGATATAAAATATATCATCTGAAAAATAAGCGAAAATTATAAATTGTATTGTTTGAATGCTCAAAAAGTATTTGTACAGATGAGAAATTTAGCTTCTAAAATCAGAAATACATGCGAAGATCATTTGTTTACGTTAGAACAGAACGTATTCATTATATATATATATACAATTGCTAATTAATATTTATTTTCTACAAATAAGACTTTTAATAACAAATTTCCGAGCAAATTTCCTTATACGAATACTTGCTCTCACTATACGTATATATAGAATTTCAGATCGATATGTTTTTACTCAGCCAAAGATGTATTTCTACCAAATTGAGCAAACTAAATTTGATACGCTAATTCGTGAGTAATTGTCATAACATTCCGTATCTTTATTTTTACACTATTATTATTATACTATTAATTCCTCATTACATAAAACTGTAATATGCGATTATAACTGCTCATGAATTGAACTCAACAAGAAAATTAATCGGCTTCACAGAAATGTTATTTCGATAATATATTAGATATGAATAACGACTTATATATATTAGATATGAATAACATCATGTCTTTCTTCTAAATAGATTCTAAAATAAATTTTCTTAAATAAAATTATAAAAAATAAACGATATATTTTTTTTGTCAGAATCCTATATCTATTAATTTTATCATCCAGTTAGATTACGCTGTGATATCGCAGCATTTTTTATTATCTCAATATTTTTTCTTAATAAAGAAATTAAAGGTGACTACGTTTCCAGATTGAAATCTTTATGATTGTTGCTTTATAATCTATATGTAATTGGATGCTTTCCATTTAGTGACACAAGTCGACATAAGTCGCTCCTTCTTTGTTACTTATTGAATTTGATGCCAAGAAAGACAGAACGATGTTTGTGTTAACATGTGTCACTAAATAAAAAGTATCTATTGATTAAAACGTGTAACGATCTATTATTATAAAAATGTATTCTTTTAGATAATCCTAATAGATGTCTGCTTGACGTATATTACTTTATCAGATATGCGATAAATGTGCATTTCATAATATCGTCTGATCGATCTTTCAAAAGAATTAGTTTTGATCAGAGTTGAGAAGATTATCAGATCAATCTTTCAAAAGAATTAGCTCCTATCAGAGTTCTTTTGAATCTTCTTATTCACATAAATTTTATTGTTTATAACTCGTTGTAAATTGTATATAAATACTAAATATAAATAAAAATTTCACTGTAAGAGTGCATCTTTACTGTTATTTATCGTTTATTTTTAAAAAGATTTAAAAAAAAAGAGAAAAGATGATAACTTCACTAAAAAAATTTCTGGTTAAAAATGGACGAACCAGAAAATTCTTATTATATCAATCAGAATTCTGGTTATCTCAACTAGGATTCTAATAAATTTAATCGGAAAAATCTGATTTGTCCATTTTTAACCAGAATTCCAATTAATGCAATCAAATTCTTTTTCAGTACTTTATTGAATTAAATTTATTTTATATGTAATCCCGGTAAAAAATTTTTCATGGATGAATATATGTAAATATAAACATACATAAACACGCATAAATATTCATAAACATGTATAATTATATCTAAAATATGTCCATACGTGTTCATACAACCTTCTTTCTTTTGTAAAATTACTTTTTAGTGTAATAGAAATAATAATAGTAACGTGAAAACATTAAAAATAATTAAAAAGATAATTTTCTCACTATTTGTTTTAGAAAAAATCAAGTTTAAAGAAATGTAAAATAATTACTTATACATAATTATATATAAAATTATGTATAATTATGTATGAGCAATTTTTTTACATTTTTCCAAATTTGTTTTTTTCTAAAACAAATAATGTGAAAATTATCTCTTTAATTATTTTTAATATTTCCACATTACTATTATTATTTCTATTAAGCTGATAAGTAATTTTATAAAAGAAAGAAGGATGTACGAAATATGTATGAATATATTTTATATATAATTATACATATTTATGAATATTTATGCATGTTATGTATGTTTATACATATTTATACATATTCATGCATGAAAAATGTTTTACCGCGTGTTATAATGAAATAATATAATAAAATTATAATATTATAATTTTATTATAATGAAATGTTAAATTCAATTGAAGATTCTGGTTTTGCTATTTACATTCCTTCTGCAGAAGTTTAGTTTGCAAAGAATTTTTTTTCTTTTAATCGTTAATTATAATCTTGTATGTGTTAATCGTTTATATCATGAGCTATCGGTTAGTTCATTAAACTATACTATATCTATTAATATTTAATTGAACTATACCAAAAATAAATAAATATCAAATGTGTATGAATATTTTAAGCTTATGCTATCTTAAGACATTTTCTGCTTGCCAAAAGACGATTCAAACGCAGTGGTGCACTTGACGTAGCAAGTACAGCATTGGTTGGCACCGGTCTAAAAGTAACGACGATTTAGCATCATTTCGGGGTTACGAAGATTGTCGAGCGACTAACACTCCTATCTGTTGCTCCGATTCATCACGCTTGTAATGATTTGCACGAATAATGACTCGTGAACTATGAAAATCAGTATATGATGTTAATATTTTTATTTGGCGCAAAGTGATCGTGATTGTGACAAAATAAACAACTGATCTTCGAAAGTATGGAAGATATAAGCATTTTCCGAAATCGTGACGTGAGATCGATTCTGATACTATACCAGTGCCAAGAACATAAAATTTGTGATTCTTCGTGATTCGATACAAATACAACAAAACCCGGAAATAAAAGTGATCAACGTATATTATTAGAAATACAATTAAACAACCAGAGAGATACATATACTTGTTGGACACTGCAGTGATGGAACTTTTCGCTGATTTTATATTAAAAAGAAAAATTAATTTATCGAAGGTTTTATCACGAAAAATTAATGTGATATCACATTTCGTTTCTATTGCATAAAAAAATGATGGTAGTGTTTTTATAAAGAAATAACAAGATTTTATTAGTTATATATCATTATAAAGGAAAAGAAAATATCATTATAACAGAAATGTATCTTATCTCGGCAATATAAAATTTTGCGCGTTTAATGGTTCGAAAACGCACGGCGGAAATTAAAGTGGTTCACCAGAGCGTTATTAAGAAAGCGTGCCGGTCCATCGAGATGACATTTATTTATCGATATCCCGCGGGAAGCTTTGGAACAATTTTTAAACGAATTGCTCGTGGAAGTTTTGCGAAAGCAACTTACCCTCATGATTTTCCACGGAGAAGTACGCCCAAGTGTAAAAAAGAAATGGATATACCAACGGAAATAAAAGCACCCCGAACTATGTTTCCTCGGAGCAGGCAGGTGTGTGAAATTGTAGATCGAGGGGATTAGTTACGTAACGTCTCCGGTGACCCTTTTAGTCGCGCAAAAATAACTCCAATTTCTCAGTCTGGCAAAAAGGGAAACAGCGAATTTCATTTCGCACTGCTATTTCGCACTGCGATTCTAACTCGTGAAACGCGAAAAATTCGATAAGTGCAATTCTATCCGAGATCAAGACCTTAAAATGATGAACGCTTCTACAGCTACAAAATTTAGAGTTCACGGATATACTTTCCGATTTGCTACATCAAAATATCAAGTTTTAAAAATATTCTTTTATTATAATAAGTTTATATAATAAATTTATGTATATTGTGTATAATATATCATTATATAATATATAAATATAATTATATAATAAATATTCATTACATATATATAATAATTTTTAGATTCTGCTTCAAAAAATACAAATTAATAGTTCTAAAAAATTTCGGTAGGGCAGACTGGGGATAATTGTACCAATTTTTAGAAAGATACATATATTTCTATATTTATAACACATATATTTATTTCTTATAATGCACATGACGCAACAACCAACTATTTAGATTTATACTATTTGCAAAAATGTGTAATTTTAGGCTATTTATGAGTAAAATATCAAAATCTTAATTAAGTACATCTTGCTCCAATTTGGAACAAAATGAAACATAGCTAGGGAAAGTTGTAACATGTTCTAAAAATAAATTATTTGTTATGAAACATAAATTCACTGCTTTAAAAACACAAATTCAATGCTTTAAAAATAAATTATCTGTTCTAAAACAGAAATTATCTTCTTATATTATTTTTGTTTTTAAAAAACAGTAAATTTGCTATTAAAAATGAATTTGTGTTTTAGAGCAGAGAATTTGTTTCAAAGCAGTGAATTTGTTTTTAAAACAATAAATTTGTGTTTCAGAATAGATAATTTGTTTTTAAAGCAGAGAATTTGTGTTTGTAAAGCAGTGAATAATATCTATTACAATAAGAAATACTTACAACGTATTCGCACGAATTGCCATAGAGCATAACAATGTGACCTTGGCGCGTGCTTGCATCGTCAACTTAAAATATTTCGGTTCATAAAGCAGAGCGACTCCTTTTTTCTTGTCAGATCTTTATTTTTACGCGAAAGCGTATCGATTCAGTGTATTTTTATTAAAATTTGTGGTGAACGGGCTCTTCTTAACATTTACCGTTAATTGTAATAGCGATACGGTTAAAAGTACCGACTTTTAACCAAAAACCGATCTTGTCAAAATTTACAATATATATGAATATATTTGAAATCACTTAAAAATATTTAAAAAAGACATGCTTGATAAAACGTATTTTAGAATAAATTGAAAATATGATAAAAAGCCTTTTATTTGAAAGTTTAAAGCAAAAAAGTATAAAATCGTAAATTTACACTTATGTAGCTTGTCTGAGCACAGTACATATAACTTTTTTTACATACGGCGCACACGCGATTGATGGCATGAAGCAGATGCAGACCTCGATACCAATTAATTATTTTTGTTCTGCATATGATTATCTTATCTCTTATCATTTAAAAAATATACGCATTGTTACAACTTACCTCCGTTGCAACTGTCCCTAGTCTCTCCTACCCATAGTCTGTTTAAAGCAGTGTCTACAATAAGATTTTTAAGGTGTAAAACTTAAGTTTCAAGTTTCAAATCGTAAAAAATTGAGACCAATTATAGTCGAATCCCAGTAAAAAAATTTTCATGCATGAATACGTATATAAATATATATAATATTCATAAACGTATATAATCATCTATGAAATATGTTTATATGTGTTCATCTTTCTTTTGTAAAATTACTTTTTAGTGTAATAGAAATAATAATAGTAATGTGGAAACATTAAAAATAATTAAAAGGATAATTTTCATACTGTTAGAAAAATATCAAGTTCGAAAAAATGTAAAAAAAATTACTTATGTATAATTATATCTAAAATTATGCATAATTGTGTATGAACAGTTTTTTATACATTTTCCCAAACTTGTTTCTTTCTGAAACGAACAATGCGAAAATTATCCCTTCAATTATTTTTAATGTTTTCACATTACTATTATTATTTCTATTACACTAAAAAGTAATTTTACAAAAGAAAAAGAGACGTATGAACATGTGTTAGGTGTTAAACGTAATTCCTGTCGTTTTTCGTCCCCAGAATTGATTTGTTTCGAAGGGAAATACCTTAATCAAAGTATTATTAATAAAGTATTATTAATTAGTAATAAAGTAGAAAATGGAGGAAATTACTTTGATAAAGGTATTCATTCATCTTCCCTTTCCCTAGATCTTCGTATACGTTTCTTTTTTTTTTTTCAAGAATAGAGGTCCTGGTCTTCAGAAAATCGATTCGAAATCTCTCATCCCTACCCTATACCTGCATTTTGCTACCGATAGTTGTGTGAACTGGCACGACACGGACGTCTGCATTGGCGGCCTGCAACTTGCACTTGCACCAGTCAGTGACCGGTTACGCGTGTATCCGTGTTTGAAGAGAACGTGACCGGCGATTGGCCACAAATGGCAGCGACGTAGTGGGGTGAGAATGAGGCATGGTACTTGTCTCGGGTGACATATAAAGATCCCGTCGCAATCGCCGACAACTATTTTCTGATATTGTCGATCGGCTCGACACGAAACGTGCGACTTATATCGTGCTATCTGATATCGTTAACGGACCGCTACCCTCGGAGGTAAAAATCAGAATCGACCAGTTCCGCAAAATCTTCTGTCCGCGCGACGATCTACTGATTTTCAAGGTGGTGCAATTTGTGATTTGAAAAATAAATCAGGATGCCGACGTGCGCCTGCCAGGACAGAACTCTGGACGAGTCGGAGGAGCACGTTTGTTCGCTAAAGCCACCTATGGAGCAGGACAAGGTCATGGAATCCAAAGAATGCGTCAATCCGGTTAGGTAGGGACGCGTTTTTACAGACAATGAAAACTAGAAGGTCTTACCTTGCACTTGCCCGTCAAGAATCAGACGAACCCTGAGAACGAACCAGAAGAGTCTGATTATATCAATTGGAATTCCAATTATCTCAACTATACTGAAAGAAAAGATTGGCTGAAGCAAATTAGATGGTAAAGTATGGTATAGTCTTTTTAATTAACTGCTGCAACAATTAAAAATGCTACGCCATATTCAGCCAATCTTTTCTTTCACTGTAGAATTAGTGGATTCAACCAGAAAATTCTGGTTCATTCATTTTTAGAATTTCAATTAATCCAACTAGACATTTTTCTTATTGTTAGTGAAAAAATTTAGATTTTATTTAAATTTTTATGAAACAAGCAAAAATTAACTATTTCGTTGAATAAAAATTTTAAGTAAATACATTTAAAATTAATAAATCAATTTATAATTAAGAATTTTATACTACATACTTTTATACATATTATGTATTTCGGCTTTAGTTTAGGATTGTATTTCAAGACCAAAAAATAATCGGCGTGCAGTTTATATTCTGGAAATTGCAAAATTCATGCAAAAATATTATTAAACCGCATATTTTTCTTCTTCACTTATTTGTGTTTATACTAACTCAATTATATAGTGATATACAATGGCTTACGAAACTGATAAAATATACACAACAATTACTTAACGATTGATTTGAAGAAGACAATTGAGACGGAAACAGAGTCTCAAAAAAATTTTATAATAATTCAAGTTCAGTTTCGTAAGTCATTGTATATAAATTATTTTTTCAAATTAATGGATTAACTCTTTTTTGCACAATGTTATTCAATTACGGATTGTTTAAAATTAATTTTATATATGATGTGAATTTATGTTTGATGATTGACAAAAGAGCGAGTTTTCATGTAAGAATTAATTTTAAAAATTAAATATTAAAAGCTATAATACTGTTTTACACAAAGTGTTATTGTCAAAAGATCGATATTAAAAATTACAGTACAATTGTGAATATGAATTGCTGACGTGTTTGTGATTTGTTATTTTATTTCATTGAGTAAATTAAATTTACGTAAACGAAAATGTTTATTGATATATCGTAGTGTAATCAATTTCAACTTGTCAAAATACAAAATCTATGAAAACTAGCATGCAATAAATGCACAAATAGATTGATGTTTGAAAAGCTGCTTTTTCCATTTCATTCCATTAAATCCATTTTACGATATACGGAGTTAGATTATTATGTTTGTTCTGCGTAAAGTTGGCAGACGGGAATACGGGGAGATCAAGTAGTACCGCAGTTAGACGAGGCATTTTCTTTTTACGGGAAACTGGCAGCTAGATCTCAACAAACAGACTTGACTGACCACGAGAATCGATTTTTCTCACGAGATTGGTCGTGAATACTGTCAAGAGACTCGTGACTTGACGAAAAAATACACCCTCATTTTTTGCTTGCCAAGTTCAATTTCAGTCATAACTCTACATTTCGTTTCAGAAAAAAATAGACTGTAAACGTCAGGCAAACGATAAATTCCGTTTATATTTTGAAAGTAATATAAAATAAATTGGAAATTGTACTATAGAACAAATCTCTCTTGCAGTTCTGTTGTAGATTATTATTATCGCGAATATGAAATTTTTTTCATGAGAAAATGGGGTATTTGCGCTTTTGAATTTCAACGAATTGACGTGCATTAATTCGCTGGCGTTGGTAATAAAGGATTATGTGCACAAACATTGGTTCATTTCTATATGTTTCTTTTACGTATATTAATTATTGAAAATGGAATAATTTCTCTTGTACGTTTATATGCCATATTAATTCTATTATAGAATATTCCAATATTAATACGCAATAGCTCGTAACGTCGACAGTGGCATTTTACGTAATTATAAATAAATTGTTGCGCAATTAATTTATTAATATTATGTATGTAAATAATACACCATGGTGTTAATAAAATTATTGTTCTGATAGCAACAGTTTATTTAAATTACGCTAATCGAAAAACACCAAGTCAAGAGAAAGTCAAAATGACTTTATTTTTATTTTAACGTCATGAAAGTCAAAGTGATGATTTTTTGTTAAAATTTGATTGTTTATTGACGTTAAGAATCAAATTAAAGTTATTTTGCTTTTTTGGTGTTTCTTGAATATTAATTTACTTATTCAATAGGAAAAAAGCAGAAATATACAGGGTGCCCCAAAATTTACGAATCAAAATTTCGCAGCAAGAAAGTTTCCAACAAAATAAAGTATAAACATATTTGCCATTTGTTGTCCGAACAGTAGTTAAAAGTAAAAAACTAAGTAATTTTAGACTAATTTTAGATTAATTATGATTAAACGACTAATTTTAAGCATTCAATTTTAAACTGCTAATTTTTTACTAATTATGGTAATTTTAAATTAATTACGATTAAACGACCGTTTGTTTGTAAGTCGCACATAGATAATGCATGTCAAACAAACACTGTTAATGTGCGGTAATTTACGAATAAATGGCCGTTTAACCGTAATCTGTGACTGTATATAATTACATAGTTTTTAATCTTTATTCAAAAAATTATATTATAAAATTGAAACGACAAATGACAAATACTTTTATACAAGTTAAAAAATTATTTAACATTTTTTTGCTATATTTTGTTATATTTTAATTTACAAACTTCGGGACACTCTGATATATAATCTTATCTATAACCATCCATTAATTGCCTTAATATACTAAAAGATGCATTCTTTTTCACATTTATCATAGAATACACTATATAAAGTAGAAAAACTCGATTATCCTTTTCTTCAGTATGAGCGAAATAAGAAATTATTGCGAGATACGCGAAGAAGAGGTACCAGAACGATAATACTATATCTGACGATGAAACGAAGATGCATGATTGTGTCTTGCGATGGTAACAACGGAAATATGGCGAGCACAACTCCGTGGTATAGACAACAGACTCTGTAACTTCACATTCCCTATATTATTCGCGTGTGAGCATAGTTTCTGTCGAGCTTGCGTGAAGAGAATAATGAAAAGCCCGTCGCAAAGTCATACAAAAGACAGATAACGCCAAATGAGGAACCTTGGATAGTTTTCCTCGAGCGAAGATATGGGTGGTAGAAACAAGATTTTTTTTTAAAGATTAAAATATATCAAATTAATAATGATAAGCAACAAATAGTTGAAGTTATGATCAATAAATAATTGATTAGAGGTTTGGCACTTAGGGGTTTAGAATTCTTTGATTTTTATCGATGAGAGGTATAAAAGAAATAAAGAATTCGAATAAATCTCTTTATCTGCTAATAGATTGGCGAACCAGTTACAGCTGCGAATAAAAAGATGCAGCTAGGTAGATATCAGTTTATATAACTGGTTTTCTTCTTTAATTTTTACATAATAGCGGATAAAAGGGATGATGATTTGGAGAAACGTGTGATGATTTGTGATCGGATTACTTATTCCCGGGCAAAAATGTTTTCAAAGATTAATGTTAATTCAAAGATTAAAATCAAGTTGATAAACATAAGCAATAGACGGTTGAAGCTATGGTTAGTGAAAAAAAAATTAGATTTAGGGGCTTGTCTGGACCTTTCTTCTTCGATTTGTATTTGATAACGAAATATATATATATATATATATATACATCTGTTTCTCTCTTCTGATTTTTATCTAATAACAGATAAGGAAGATGATTTCTTGTTCGGATGATTCCAAGTACGTTCGAAGATACAAAAGATAATGTTTATTCGTCATTACAACTTTCTAATCAACGACAGTAAATCAAGAATGAACCCTAAATTTGTAATTTTACTTCAATCCAATCCAATTAAATTGAATTCCATAATTTAAATTGATTGGAAAGAAAGTATTGCTGCATCTGTAATATCTATTAAAAGTTTAATCAGTTTTGAAAGTCTTTTATTTACTTTATTAAGTAACTCGGTCTCAACATCAGAACTTATTTCTCAGATAATTTCAGCTGAACTTTACTTTATCAGAAACGTAATCCGAGACTTGATTAGTAGAATTAGTTAACTGTCACATCGTTAAGAATCAAAGACCTTTTTTAAATTTTCATGGAGACATGAATTAATAATTATTTCATATTCATCAATGTATATTTGAAGGAGCGAGAAGTAATAGCTTCTGAATAGCTTGCATACATAGTGAGACATTTAGATGGAAATTGGTGAACATCTTCACACTGGTTATGTATGCAAAATTTCTCAGGAGGACAACGTGGACAGTGTTACAAGTTATATACACGATGTGAGGAATATACTGATAAGAAGATCAAACACTGTAATATACCTTTTCCTATGATAATATATCCCTCATCAAATATTGAACGTATCTCTCATAAATTTTTTTTCGGAGGCCTTTCTTTGTTCATCTATAAGTAACGAAAAAGGTTTGAACGTTCTCATTTAAATACCACACGCAATAAAAGTCGACACATATGATAAAAATCAAATTAAAGAATAATTAAAGACTAAATAGGAAAGAAGAGCTGATAAGAACAACACAGATGTTAATACGTAATAATCACAAAAAAAAATATTAATTTATATAAACGCAGTAAATTATATAAACACATGCGAGTACTTAGTAATTTACTAATTGACTTTTATTAGCCTTTCTTTCTTATTTATTCTAGATTTATTCTTACAGCCTTTTATTTTTATTATTGTTAAAGGATAATGACTAAAACTGTATTGTGGCAAATCGTATAAGCATTTACAGTCTCTTCGGACCCAGATATAAGTAACAGATGTCAAAGTATAACAAATGTGACTCGTGAATATTGTCCATTAGATTAGCGATCATCATAGTTAAACGGATTAATAAACGCTTGTGATTTCACATTCATAAATCGAAGCTATCAATAACAAGGCAGAAATTAAAGAAGTATACTGTATACATTTACGTTGCCGAGCAGTATCATACACCCAGGAACAATGGGCGAACCTGAACTATCGGTGGGTATTTTCTTCCATAGAAAACTCTTCCAGGTAGTCTGGAAAAGTAAACAATCCAGCGAGCTTTAAGACGAGCACTTTGCTATTCTGCTCAGCTCCATCTTGACCTATTTCTGTATTTGAAATATAATATCTTTATAGATATTACTTCTGACAATCCATATTCCATAACCTTCATATTTTTACTCCTAAATCTGCATGTCAAAGTATAAATATTGAACCATTTCATCGAATCATTTTCCACAAATATTGAACTGTTACACATCTCAGAGGATTTCTTTCCTATGATCACGTTGTACATTCCGATTGCCGAAGGGTCAAAAACGAAATACATTTATTCGGCCATCGAACGGAAATGACTTAATTACGATGCGCGAATCCGTCGACAGTCGGAACTGATTAGGCTTACGAGTACAATAACGAAGTCAATTTTCGACGTTGATGCGATTGCCCGTTCTATCGTTTGCCGTAGAATCAAATTCATGACGTCGTGATGTCAAAGGCCATCACCGCAATTTAATCGGAACTCGCTTGTGCTTCGCAATCTAAAGATAATCCAAAAACTATGCAAACGCTGAGATTTACAATATAAAGGCATTTATCGTCTTCAATGGTTTAATCGTTATCTTTAATAGTATTGCAAAGAAACAGTAGATGTATTACCGTAATGTATTATACAAAAAAATTACCGATTTTTAATTAATTTACAATGTTATACATTTAAATGTTAATATTCTTGCTTAAATATACACTAAATATATATATCAGAAATAAGATAATATATAATTTAAATATTATTCAAACATCATAATTAATAATTCTGAATACTAATTATCTTGTGTAAACTGTAAACTCGGATAATTGTATATTTTATAAACAAGGGGAATTTATTATATTCATAGTACGTATATTGTTGAAACGTTAATCAAATATTTTGCTGTGGTTGCAGTATTATGATACATGTTATCTATTTCGCGATGAAGTTATTCAATTATTGTATTAAATATTTTATTGCATTCATGACCATGTAAAAGGTTTTTAATAGATATTTAAGATACCCTCTATCATAAAATAAAAAGTCAAACCGGTTTTCCATGTTTTATAGGTACAGCGATGGCTCCGTACGATTACGAAATCCCAATATCGAACTCATGGATCAGGACATATTGTATCATCTCGCACTCGGCAGCGGTTCCCACGATCTGGTTGAGATGTTTGGTGATGTCAAGGTAAATCGAAGAAATTCCTATTATATTTGTACAAAGATCTGAAGTACATTTAGGTAAAGATCTTCATTGAAATAATTGGACAAACTTTGTTGACGTATTTTTTAAGCAATTTTACGTCAACTTCTATTTAGCAAAAATTTAGTTGGTTGCCATTACATTTTGCATTTAAAAAAAATTTTTAATGCTCAGTGATATTTAATATATCTTATAACTAACCCCAGTATTAGTGGTCTATTAAAGTAAGATCCCATAAAAATTTCTAAATGCATAATATTTATTTCTATTAAAAGTCTAAAATTTAATATACAAAAGACTTATTTTTAATCACTTTTAATTTAAAGCTCAATTATATTTCCTGCAAACACAAAGTTACATGTAACGTACATTCATTTGCATACATTTTAAAATGTTTTACTTTTTTGTTAATTTTGTAACCAAATACTGTTTTCTAAACAAAACTAATATTTTAAGGCTATTTTTACGGAAGGCCACATTATCACCCATTTTTTCTTTGATATTTCGTAACTTTGAGTCCAGAATCGGTTCAACAAAATTTTAACGAATGTAATTGTCGAGTTTTAAACTTAAATATTGATTATTAACAAAGTATTATGTAAAATATAACTGGGGTGCCATAATACCATCTTCTCTTCTACTATACGGCACTTTGAAGAGTATTTGATGTTATTTATCAAGATAAGTTGGCTGATAAAGTAATAGTCGGCTGATAGTGTAATAGACACGTGCGTAATCTTGAACAACAAAAAGCGATGCTCGTGCATTAGTTACACTTATTTTATTAGTTAACATTCGTATATTGCAAAACGTATTATGATAAAGATATGTGAACAAATATGTTATTATTAAAAATTAATTAATTAATTAAATAAATTTTATAAACGCATAGCTCTATTAAATTAAACATTTATATATACTTTCATGTTAGATATTATGAAACTCGAATGACATAATTATCAGAAGTATTACGTCGTTATCATAGTTTCACCATTTTTTTCTCGTTAACGTTGTAGTGTGTTTTAATCAGCGGCGTTATTTCTTCCTTTTTCTCATTATCTCACATCAATGACATAATAAATGGTAAATATTAAATGCAACTTCTTTTGATCAAATATAAATCACGCAATAATTATACATAGAGAGAAAAGTATTTGATATTTGTGATTATATTTGCATTAAAAAATTATGAAGAAGATCCATTATTATTACTATATCATTGTTATTACTGCTATAATATTAATAATAGTTATAATTAATAATAATAATAAAATATTAATAATTATTATTATTTTTCAAAATATAGAACTGATATTAAAATAAAAATTATATTTTTTATATGTGTTGTCCATAACAAATATGCTACTGGCAATCCTAGGACATATGACAATCAACCCGGAACACACACGGGATTGATTGTCACATTCTCGCAGCTTCATTTAAAATTAAGTAACTTATTTTTACGATATGATGAATTCACGAGTAATATTCTGTTTAATATACCTAAAGGATATAAGTATATTATAACGTATATATAATATTTCAAAAAAATCACTAATCAAGAACTGTGACAACCGGCCTCAGTCTTCCCTACTTTTCGAAGATCCCTTTCAGTTATACCGTTGGAAAATCTGTGTTAAATTTAACACATTTCTTGTGTTCCAAATGGTCCACTCAAATTTATTTTATGAACCACTTATGTGTTAATTTAGTAAAAGATGAATATGTTAGAAGATAACACAAATAATTATTTTTAAAGAATAAATACAAAAAAATTAATATTGACACAGTTTGTACGTGACACAGCATGTTTTTTTCAGTAAAATAAACATTTATGATATCCGTTTATTAAACCTGTTAAATTAATATATTTTATTCATTTATTTTAGAATTTTTGTTTTAAAACACATTATTTTTATGTTATTTATTCATTTATTCATAAATTCTTATTATTTTGAACTAAAAGGTGCTAAATATCAATTTAAGCCCAACTATTTAAATAACATAATCACATTATTTTAAATTAGTATTTGAATATGTTAAAAATTCAACACAAAATTTTAACGAGGACTTGAATGGACCATTTTTAACACAAATACGAAACGTTTTTTACCGTGTATAATTTTGTCTTTTGATTATTAAAATAAGTCTAATTTGTCTTCTTTTCAACATGTACATTTAAACTTATCGCGTATAAACAGCAAAATGGTATGACGTAAGATGTTATATCACTTATTAATATTGGACTTTTGGCTTCCCGCGAGGTCCAAGAGGCAATTGCACGTGATGTTCTCGCCGGATATTTATTACATTTGTCAATAATCGATTAATCAACACATCCTTGCTTCCTGCACTTGACGTACGATCTGAATTAGAAATGGAAAGACGCACCACTCATGACCGCGCAAAGCTATCGATGTCACGCGATACGTTCGTGATGTCAGCCAACATCAATAAATCGCAGAATATACTTCAATGACGTGCGATTACACCATCGGCTATCGTTCGTTTATTTTTACTATCGTAACCGATGATCTTTGACATTTAAGATGAATCAAGACGTTTGAAGAATTCGGGTCACATCACTTTAACGATGAACTCGCCTTGCTGTCTCTCTTTGTTGATTGTATTGTTTCTCTATTTGAACCATTTATTAATTCTAACTATTATTTTAAAGATTATTATTTTAACAATTGACCTATTTTCTCTTCTTTTCGTGCCAAACCACTTGATATAATTGCGCACTTTTCTCGTTACAGTTCGTCTGCATGGGCGGAACACCGAAAAGGATGGAACATTTCGCTAACTACATCATGCAGGAGATAGGTCACAAGCTACCAGCTGGAACGACCCTCCTCGATATCACCAAAAATTCCTATCGCTATTCAATGTACAAAGTCGGCCCGGTTCTCTCTATCAGCGTGAGTCTTTCATGAGTACCTATGCTTCGAACGTTTCTCCAACGTGAAACATTTTTTCCCTTCGACGATAATTTTATTTGTCGTTAATTATCGAGAAAACGACGGAAGTCAAGTATGACGACGGCCAAGTGGTTCTTTAAACACCTCATACTATGTTACTGCGATTGGAATGTGGAATAGACTGTATACTGAAAAGTCTACAGCCATGTTTCGAGCAAATTTACTTTTGCATAATTAAGTCGTAGGTACCTGTTTAACAGTGTTAATGAGACGAACGTGTTTACGATACACTTGAAAGTTGTTATCCTTTCAAGTCGTAACTAATTTCGCATAATTCGAATACATTGATCATTTTTTTGTATTAAGACGGAAATTATAATATTAAATAATTTGTATAATTGCATAAACATCAATATTTAAAAAATAATATCAATTTCAAAATTAATTAACTTGATAGGAGTTTTTAAAGATTTTGAAAATAATAAAATAATATCGCACGTCATTGCAGTATATTACATTAAATTTTATTTCTTAATAGAATATTAAAAAATTAAAAGTATATATTATATATATAGAGACTGATATATAAAGACTGATTTTATATAAGTAATATCTTTAAGTACATCTTTAAAAAAAATAATGTCAATAATTCAAAGAAGAAAACAAATTCCTGCAGAGTATCGTGATAATAAATGACGCTATAATTAATAAGAGAGCACAATGTTTCTTCAAAAAGAAAATGTTGCAACATTCTAATCGCTAGGTTGAACGTGGCGCCGACGTAGTGAAATAGACAATTCATTCCTAGCAGGCAAACAAATTCGCTAACATTCCACACTAATTACGTTCAGCACCTGCTTTGCTCCGCTGTACTCTACTTACGTTGTTTACACGCCTGGACGATTAAATCGTTTTTCGCTTCGCGCGAATTACACACGCGGTGTGCCGAGCAAGCTGAGCGGAATTCGGGAATTATGTTATTTGGTTGCTGAAAGTAATTATCATTTATTGAAATCTTGGCAGGAATATCTCGGGGTCTTTATAAACGAACGAATCTGATATCACAGTACAAATTTTGTAGTACAAGACATGTATGTCGAAATAATAATCGGTTTCGTTTTCTTTAGTTGTACTTATGATAAATATACTATCAAATTTTATGAAAAAGAAAACTTAATAAAAAGAATCACGACTATTTATAAATAAAATATTTATATTTGTTTAGCATGGAATGGGTATACCTTCAGTAAGCATTCTGCTCCATGAAGTTATCAAGCTGATGTACCATGCAAAAGTAAAGGATCCAATTTTCATCAGGATTGGCACTTGCGGTGGTATCGGCCATGAAGGTGGTACGGTAATCATCTCGGAAGAAGCTCTCGATGAAATGATGAAACCTTATATGGAATTGGTTAGTGGTTTTATAAAATCCATATATATAATAAAAAATTTGATAAGTTTAAAGCTTGTTATATTATTCTATTTTTTCTAACTAATTAATTAAATTTTGTCTGCAGACTATGATTTACGATTATGATTTACAATATAAAAGAATTCGGAGAATTAACACTAGAAGTATTAAAGTCTGTGGTTTGTAGTTTTTTATAAAAATTATTCAAGGAGGGTAGAACATTTTTCGTGATTATTCGGAGATCTTTTTATTTCTACATTTTCTTATGTATTTTTCTTCATGGTTACCAAAAATTATTATAATAGTGACAATTATTATGATAAATAACAATTATCATTGTTATGATAATTTTTAGTCCCTTGGATATAATTATAGCTACACACAGGGGAAAATTAGTACATTGAAATAAAGTTAATAAAATTTTTATTAACATCATTATAAAAAATATATATATTTTTCAATCACTTAAAAACTAATTCAGAATTGAATCAACAACATGTACATACACTGGACTTGCGAATACCAATTAAGGAAATATCGGAGCAAACATCAATTAGAGTTAAATAGTAAAAATTAATTGTCAATAGTTTTAGTATTAAATGATAGTGCGTTGCAGATGGTACTCGGAAAATTGGTGCGCCGACCAGCCAAACTCGACCGACAGCTAGCTCGCGATCTAAAGGGCTTGGCCCATCGCGATGATCCTTACGACACCGTGATCGGCAAAACTATGTGCTCAAACGACTTCTACGAGGGCCAAGGCCGCCTGGACGGTGCATTCTGCGAATTCACCGAGGCCGACAAAATGGAATACCTCATGAAGTTACAGAAGGCTGGCGTGGTGAACATCGAGATGGAGAGCCTCTGCTTTGCCGCTTTAACGCACCACGCTGGCATCCAGTCCGCCGTGGTGTGCGTGACGCTGTTGGACCGACTCAAAGGCGACCAGGTATTATATATATATAATTTATGTATTTTCGACATTAAGCTCTACGTACGCTCGCGAAGAATCCTATATATATGTCTTGAACGAGTTTTGCGTCACGAACAGCGAACTTTCGCGAGTTAATTTGCATTCTCATTTATATGCACTTTGCAAAACTGCATATAACAATTTCACAACGAAGTAAATGCGTACTGTATATTGTTCGTCGGACACAAAATTATAAATCAACAAAATATAGTAGTTACATTACAACTTGCTAATTTATTCAGACTGTTATCTATAATTCAATATATATGCGAACAATCAACGTCGAATGTTTAATTTTTCTGAATTAATCGAAAACCACCTCTAAATGATCTTCATAATTTGTAAAGGTTCTGGCGCCCAAAGAAGTGTTGGAAGAATGGCAGATGCGACCGCAGAAGCTGATCGCACGCTATATCACCACGTACCTTCAGCGCAAGGGTCGCCTCTCCCTCGAGGGCTCACATGGTTCCATGTACGTGAAGAGTCCGCGCCGATTCAAACTGGTGCAGCAGGAATCTGAGAATTATGATTAAATGATTCTCAAACAAATCTAAATGTGCAGCCGCGAAGATCTCCCAAGATGCAATCGGAGACGTCGCCGTCGGCTCGACTATCGGATGTACTTATGCCGCTCAAGCCGCTGTATCCGTTTATTTGCTCGCGAAAAGTTGATTTATTCGCGAAGAAAGTCGCGTGATAACAGAGTATTAAAGTACAGAAGAGACGAAGGATTTGAGCATAGGAATGGATTTGAACAATTCACATATCATGCACCACAATACGATATTTTAGGCATCTCTTGACAAATGCAATTATCGCAAACGTTTTATTTCTGTGCATAATATCCAAATTGTTCAAATCTGCTTCTTCGTTAATTAAATCTTCCTTTAGATAGATTCCTACTCGAAATATTTAAGAAAAAAAATTTTGTGGATGAGAATACTTCCTAGAACGGTTGACTTGTAATAGTTAAATTACGCAGTCTTGTCTTGCATTTTAGACTGCGTTCCGTTATTCACTGCGAGTATCGAAAATCTATAATTCACATGTACCAGATTTTCAATAGCCACAGTGAGTAATGAAACGCAGCTTTACTGTGCGTATGCCAATTTTGTTAAATATTCAATTGAACTTCAAATTAGATTTATTTTATCAACGAGCTCCCCGTATCCTGCGTTCTGTAGATTATTAATAATAATCGTAATTAAGAGCCATACAGTTCCTCGCATTGCGAGAAAGCACGCCGCCGTTGCGCACACCACGAGAACGCGTTAATTCCTGAGACCTCCAAAAATTAATCAATACCGAAGCGACCGCCAAAGTTGTACTGCTCGTTTCGTGCGGTGATCCAAGTACAAAATGTGCAGAAACTTACTACGAACTGCGCTCGAAAACAGTGCACATTTTTCACGACCACATATCTTTCGAGGCCGGATTGCATCAGTCTTGATCAACGTGATCTTTCATCGTAATTAAAAAATTGTCTTTCGATCTGTAACATTATATGCAATTGAATCGTTAACTTAAATTCTTGCTATTTAAAACATCAATAAAAACTACTCGATACACCTAAAATGTACAGAATTATGATCGCTGTTATACAATAAGGAAATTATTTGGAGGGCGTTAGTCAAAATGGTGCAATCGGAATCGCGTAGTTCTGTAGAGATTTAATTTTAGGATTTTTTCGCAGACAAGAACGCTGTAACACGCGTTTATTACGTTATTCGCCGATAATGCACGATGTTTGGACGATTTTTTTTCTTTTACTCATTAAACGAGCGACGATGATTCTCTCGTAAATCTTCAGGGATTTGTGTTGAGAAATTAGATGAAATCCGCTAACGGACCTATTTCGCGGTTTATTATGAGGTGCGTGTTGCGTCGAGAGCAGTTTCGAGAGAACTTGTAAATTTAGCTACGCGTGTCCGCCGGCCTGTGACGTATGCACCCGGCGACATGGAATCTATGTATTAGCACTTTTAGCAGTTGGGTAGGAAAGCACATTCCATATATAAAAGAATTATACATATAAATATAGTCAAACAACTAGCGCGTTTTCGTTCGACTGTTACTCGTAACGTGGGTGAAGACTATGTACACATACACACAATATGCATATAGATGTCGGGAACACATTCGCAAAAATGCCCTAAACTGCACAGAGATTGGATTAGGAATTACAATAAAAATAACGTTTCAACAGATTGTCTAACAAATTATATTCTCCTCGTATGCGTTCCGGAATATTGAAACTCAGGTGCCTAAGAAAAAGAAGAAAAAAATTATTAATAAATAATATCTTAATCCTTTCTCGGTTTCCTGCTGTGACCAATATACGTTATGATACAGCTAAAATTAGAATGACCGATTTGTCACAAACAATGTAATTGTTAACTGCAATAACGTATATATTTGATACTTTTCTGTACGTATTGGTCAAGATTGATCAGTAAATACAACATTCGTGATTTTTAATGTTAAATATTACAATTTTGCTTAAAAATTTTAATAAAACGAGGAAGATTTTCAAATTTTTCTATTACAAGAAAAAGAAGCTATGCGAGCTTAATAGCCATTAATTATTTGTCATATTTCCAGAACAGTGGATAAATTTCTGAGACATAAAATTATAACGAATATTTTCGTATACACTAAACAAAAATACTAAATTTGTTAATATAAATATTTGAATAATTATAAGTAAATATTTACTAAATAAATGTAAATATATATTTATTTGCTACAAAAATTATTAATTTAATTTAACTATCATTTTTTTATTAAGTAAATACATATTTTCTGTAAGTAAACGTTTACTTAGTACCTACTATTTAAAGAAATATTAAGATTTAATAATTTTTTCAGTGTAAATATTTAAAATTCATGTGTTGTTATGCATAATTAAATTAAAACGAAAGATATATTAATCGCGAAACAAACATTATAAATACAAATGTAATTATTGCAAACAAATTATTAATTATAAACTACGAAATATGATCTCTATAACAAGACAAACGTACGACGATAACTCTCTCTTAGGTTCAAAATACAAATTTCTAATTATCCCGTAACAATTTATGCTTTACAACGAAGTGTAAGATATTATTAAAAATATGAAGATTCAAGTACAGAATATAAAATACAAAGCAATATTTTGCACTTCTTCATGATTTCGTGTCAATCATAACGCGAGACTGCGTATTAACGAAAAATACTGCCTAGTCCTGAGCGCCCACGTTACGTCCTGTTCGTTATTATAATTAATATTCCGTTATCTAGTAGATAGCAAAGTTGTATAGTTGTGCGATACATCTTTATTATAATGATATTAAGATGGTTGTTAGCCGGTGCGCACAATTTGCCTTCGTCGTTCACATTCATTGCGGCGCGAGGAGTTGCGAATACGTAATATCAATCGTACTAATAGTGAATAATTATGAAATAGTGTGGAATTTTCCTATTTTATATTTTCTTAAATTTCGGCATGTTGATGCCAAACGAACAAATTTGGCAATACTTTCACTTTTTACTTACCGTGTTTTTTTCTTTGACTTACCTGCAACATGTGCTTTGAGATTTACTTTCGATTATTTTTATTGTCCAAAATAAAATTTACAAAATGTTCCGAGAAAGTTGTGCACGAATGACAGAGTATTCACTTTTATTATCTTCACGCGTAAATCTTGTTCAAGTTCGTGTTCTATGAATTTTTAGAATTGAATTCAGAACAACAATGGTTCACTTTTTCGTAGTTTACTTTTTCGAAAAAAAATTAATCTTTTATTATATAATTGAAAAAATTAATTAAATTTCTCTTTAGAAAATAATATAATCATCGTTCAATCCTTTATTTTTGTCAATGCATAATTTTTCACCTTTTCACTAAGTTTTATAATATTCCCGTTAAAAATGTAAAAATGAAAATGAGATAAAATCTGTGCAAAACTGTTCTTTGTTATTTGAAAGTTAAGATTTTTGAGAGAGACGTTCGCATTATAATGAAATTATAATGAAATTTTCACAAAAACATAAACATTTTTACTGTTTAAAATTCAGATATACATTTCGTAGTAAGTTTTTAAAGAAGAATCCTTTAGGAATAAAGTCTATTATTAAATTTTTCGTGTTCTTTAAAAAACAAATTGATCACTTGAACGATCACGTGAAATCCTTTACTTTAATAATTAAAGAGATGGATAATTACAAATTTATGGTAAAAAACCATCTTAAAGCACGTTTCTTAAAAAAAGTCTCGAATCTTTTGAGAATAAACGCTATTTTTTTCATGATCCTTAAAAAACAAAATTAATCACACCGTCTAATCCTTTCATTAATTATAAATGAATAATTAGGAATTTATAGCAAAAAACCATCTTAAAGTACGTTATTCAAGGACGAATCGAATCTTTTGGAAATGAAGTCTTACTACTAATACGTATCATTTTTGGGACAACCGGTATATTTTCACCAAATCTAGCTATTGCTTTTCGCGTTTCTTTTCGTTCCACGAACAACGACATATCTGTGATGCGTACTTATAACGTGTACGAGGAGTATTAACAAAATGTACCTAACATTGATACGTAAAATGTATGTATATTCGTGTGGCGATCTTATCTATTTTCCTCGCGAGTGCGTAATGGCTATTTCTCTACTTACAATGTTATAAATTACTCTGTAAAACTCTTCGTTGTTACCCCTCCCTCCCTTGCATATAACTATATATACACTATTGATCTATTATGTCTCGTCGAGAGATATCGGCCGGACGTTCTACATTGTAAATTTGTTAATACTCAGCTATCTAATCGTATTGTCACTGTAAACCGTTATTTATATACTAACCCACAAGACATCTAACGTGTCCTTTTAAAAACTAATTCCTGGCACATGGGTTACATAAAAGAAAGAAAAAAAGAAAGAAAAAAAAATACTATTGTTGATTGTACGTTATAAAAGGACAATAAAAAAATATTATGTACTTGACAGTCTTAATTTGTATTTCTTTCCTGAAGAAGATAATCGGATTCAACTAGAAAATTGCTTATTATATCTACCTGAAAGTGTGGTAAAGACGTGACGCAGGCTGAGGATGCAAAGATAATGCACATTTATGAAATAATGCACAAACAAACTTGCGTCTGGTGATGAATATCATATTTCGTAAATGTTAGGATAACGGAAGTGGTGCATTACGGAAGGACTTTGACAATTCGATCGCTTGTCTCTTTGACAGACTTATGGTGGACGTTTGAAGATCAGTTTTCACTTTAAGTGTCGATCGATGATTCGGCTTCTAGCTTCGTCCCTCGTGGAAAATCCGCATATCAAGTCCACAGAAATGGATAGACGCGATATATTCCAAGAAAAGTCATATTTAATCTCTTAATATCAAGAAAACTATAAAAACAATTCAGAATTCAATATATTAGACAGGCATTAATTGATTTCTCCATCATCTTACTTCAAAAAAAAGAAAAGGAAACATATATAATATATATTGACGTATTAAATTATAATTTCTGAAGAAAAATTAAATTATCTCTTAAAATTTGCTTCGCTCTTTATTCTTATTTCCTATTTTTTTATTCATAGTTTCTAAAAAAAAGAACGTTTTAATTTTGGAATAATCAAGAAATAAAATACTTAATTTAGTAATAAAATTAGTATTCATCTCAGAATAATACATTTGGAGATCGAAAAATAATAATGACGATTTTCTTGTTATCGCTAAGAATAAAAAGACGGAGATGCATTGTTATTTCTTGATTTATCCTCGCACGGTGATCGGGAGTGTCGAGTGGAAGGACGAGAATATGAAGAGCGATTTTATTATACTGGAATTTCAACTCCTTACACAGATCATTGTTAATATACAGTTAGGTGTAGGTATCGACATTGAATATCGAGTATAGAGCGCACTACTTCGTCACCGCGCCATGGCAGTGACGGTAATAGTAACGACGGATAGCGTGATGATAATCATATAGCAATAATGATGACATCAATGTTCAGACGTAACGATCTCACTATGCTAATTGGGTCTCGCTTAAAATGTTTTTAAAATGCCTGTGGGGAGATTCATGCATCCGCCTCGTTCGCGTTCGTCTCGTAAGTGTGACGCCGTCGATCGTTGCCGCTGTTACTCTTTTAGAGCACTTCCGTTTACGACAGAAAACGATAATCAACTAAACAGGCTCTCTAAATTCTTTAGAATGGAATCTCACTCTAAGGTATTCATAGTTCGTCCCTATTTCAAGATCGTAATGTTTCAAGACGCTGATACAGTCCTCTGATTGGTTCGTGACTGTACTTAAAACAGTCTTAAATACAAGAATCGACTATAAATAATCTTGAAAAAGAGCGACTCAATTTTCAATTTTTAAAAGAGAGATTTCACTCTAAAAGAGAGGGTATTAACGGACGCATTCGGAAACAAAGCACGTTGGAGTGTCATCGAACCGGTCGACAATTCGTATAAAAAAATGTCTTATTCTTACAGAAAGTTCTCTTTTTGAGTCCTCCTCTCGAATGATAAATGTCGCCCGGTTCCACGTCTCATAATGCGCAGTAACGGAAGTTATATCGCGCGGGCTCGCAGCACCTCGTGCAACGTACAGTTAGGTGTTATATTCGGTTCCTTATATATGTCTCTACACGCGCGCATAGGCCATAACTGCTTCCTTTTATTGCCGTCGCCGTTCACCAGGAACGTAAGTATATAAAACCGCACCAGCTGTGCGAGCCCGCGTTCGGTTTTGCAAAATTAAATTTTCGCTGTATCCAATGACCTACATATCGATTTATGTAGAATGTTAAGATTTTCTTTTTAGTTCATTGTTCCTCTGATAATCCCTTGTAATATTACATAGATATTCATCTTTCAACCGTTATTACATAACAAGTGACGGAAATATAGAATTGATAGTTTACATAATGACAATGATATATATATTATCCAATTTTATATCATAATAGATAATGAATTATTCTATTCTAGAGATACTCCATTTATTCTCTATTCATCGTGGCGTCAGCATCGCGTCGAACGCGCCTAAGAAACGGGACAAAATTGTTGAATACATTTGTCTTAAACTACGATGATGATGATGATAATAATAATAACGCGTATCTACTATACGAATATCTTTAACTGTTGTTATATCAAATGTATCGAGTACACTGGAACAATATCTAAA